TATATATATATATATATATATATTAGAAGGGCTTCTAATATATATATTAGAAGGGCTTTGCTTTAGCCCTGTTCTATAAGCCCTGCCTTTGCCCCATCACTGAAGTTATCATTTCTGCCATACTGCATAGTACCAAGCAATGGTCCTTTTGTTCTCCTTCTTGTGCTGACCAACTTTTCCTCCAACCAACTAATAGTAGAATGCCCAAACCAGGAGGCAGCTAACTCTCCTCTTCCATCCCTGCTCTTCTCTGTGCAGGCTTAGCTGTATACAGTAAGGGATGGAGAAAGAAAAAGTAATGGGAAAAGAAAAAGAATCCAAGGTCACTGTTAGAGCTGCTCATGTGTTCGGCTGGCAGGAATTGGGAAAACCAAATCATTAAGACATCATGCTTTTGGCAAGAAAGGGAGGGGGGAATCTTAAAAAAGAAGCAGCATGAGGAGGGAATCCACTCTGTCAACTTGAGGAAGCACTGCAAAAAACAATGATCACAGCAGCTTCCCTCCTGCACATGTCAAATCGATTTAACTTCAGTGTTAATTGGTTCTGCTCTCTGAGACAACTAGGAACCCCGCAACTTTGTGAAAACACAATTTCCCAACATTGCACGGGGAAGGCGATGTAGATATTTGTCATCACAAATTGATTTAGCCTAAATCCAATCGTATTCTAGAGGGATGGTATTAGTACGACCACATTCCTAAATCAGATTTATTTTTTATTTTTAAAAAGTAACACAACCACATTTACATTGTTTTCAAGCTGTCAGAAAGGATTTAGTTTGATTTCGAGACAGAAAAGTTGTAGCTTAAAGCTGCTGTCATCATATATTTTCAGAAAGATTGTGAGCATTCTAGCTCCCTCTTTGCTATTGCTATTTTTAACAGCCTCTGCAGCCTTAAAAGGTTGCGAGTGTTGCTTTCACATTCCAGTGACTGCTGGCATTATTTTTGTTCTGGACTTGGGAGTCCATCCTCAACACAGGTCCTGTCTTCCACTTTGCTAGACTGATATTTAATTGGATTTCTCTCTTCCTCTCATTCATCCACACACAAGATTGAAATACTGTAATACTGAACCTGGCTTCTGGTAAGTTTATATAAATATTGCTCAAAGGTATTTTGCTTTGTATGTTAAATTGCGGATAAAATGCCACTTTTTCTTTCATTTCTCATTCTTGCACCGATCATTGTTACCTTTGCGCAATTATTATGCATTCAGTAGTAGCCTGGGAAATATCTGGTAATTGTGGTAACTGACCAAAGGAATCTTAAAGCTAAATAATAGAAAATCTTAGTAGTTTACTAATTTAGGCATTAAAAATCTTTCAAATATTTTTCATATTTGATGTAATGGCTAAAATAAAAAGATTAGCTGAACAACAAGTATCCTCTATGCTTGGATTTGTGTTATGAGAACTTATTTCATTTTTTTTCAGATTATCAAAGTTCTAATATTCTCTTGCACAGAGATTTCAGTATACTTTTCAAATGCATTTTACTTTCAACCATTCAAATATAAGAAGTTTTATAATATCTTGTTAGCATGATATTTTCTATCTATGTTCTGGTGAATGTAACTATGTGAACCAGGAGTTGTTTATTGAAAAAAACCTCTTTTTTTAAAATAAAAATAATAATTTTACTAAACTAAAATTAACAGCGTAGATAATAAATTCATCTAATACGTAAAAGTCTGGTGAAAGAGATATCTTTAAAAAAAATCTAATTTTTTAAAAAGAGAATAGGCTAAAGAAATTCCCCAGAATGTGTGTTTCACAAACCAGGATTAATGTAAGAAAAGGACCCAAATTGCCACCCCAGAAAGGACAGCAGAGCATCTTCATAAGGCCTTCCTCCAACTCGATAGGTTTATAATCAGAGAAGCTATTCCTTGGATAGTTTCTATTGTTTAAAGAATTAGATTAATAGTATTTGGGATTTGTTTTTTTTTTCATATATGCAAAATTAATGTCCATTAAATTGCACAAAGATGTTTTGAAATCCTTTCTCACAAGCCTGTTATATATCGTAAAGCTGATGGCAATGTGTAGAGTGAATAGTGTTTTTAAGCAATGGCCCACAAGCAGGAAAGACTGAGAAAATGAAGGTCAAGAGGTTTTAAAATGTGTGGGATGACATTTTATACATGGCTCTTGAACAAAATTATAATTATATAAATCTTCAGCTCCAGAGGCCAATGAATAAGAAGAGACTATTAGTTTCCATTCTGTATTAATACTCATAAAAGAGAACAAAGAGATACAAAAATAATAAATAAATCACACTTAGAATGGTGAATATTTTAAAATGTAAACTCTCCCTA